GATGCAAGAGCACACAAGTAATTTGGAAGCTTCCATTTACTTGGGAAGTCCACTTTCTTTCTTTCTAAGTTATTTGAGCTAGAGGTGGGATGGGCAATGAAGCGAGTACCCAAGAGCCTAGCTCAGTGGGGACCACACCCATGAACTGTTGAAATACAGACCAGGTGCTGTGTTCGAATCCAGATGATGGAACTTGACAAGTAAAACCAACTACTAATGAATTGCTTGGGGCCGGTCAGCTCAATGATAATATCTCAAGGCCGTCGCCCTTTTTTTTTAAAAAAAAAGGAATGAAGCCAGTGGAAGAGGGTGAGGAGGAGAGACGTTGATTAGCCTACAGATTACCGCATCTACGCAAGGCTCGCTGCTCCAGCAAAAATTCGCCGGTCGTCTATGCAGGGCAGCGCCTGGCACTTGTCTTTAGTGGGAAGAGCCTCAGTTTCAAACTCTGCACTCTACTCAATACTGTGGTTTGTACGCACAATGCGGGAACTAGCAGAAGGGAGTCCTGCCAGCAATCAAGCACCTTGTTGCTCGGTTACTATGAAAACCGCAGGCGAAGACCGCTGAGGGCTTCTTGATTAAGATGGCATGGGAGATGCTTACGTTTCGAAGAGAACAGGGAGGCCTACGATTGGTGGATCCCAAAAGAAAGAACCAGGCTCAGTTGAGATCTTGGAAAGGTAAGGTAGCAGCAGTCCACCGGAAAGAGCACTGGGTCTACCAGAACACACTATGATGGCTGAATTGGGACTAAGCAGACCGGAAGATGCATGGCTCTCTGCCTTTGACGCGGTCCTTGATAGGAAGCTAAGCTCAACTTTCTGGGAAACTGTGCGTAAAGCCTACAAGAATCTGCCTCCGCAAGAACGACCCCCCCCCCCCCCCGCCCCCCGCGCAACAAAAGATAAAGTTTTGGCTCACCAGCTGTTCAAAAATCCCCACATAGTTGATCAAGAGGGCAGCTGTTTGATGGCTAATGGCAACCCAGCAACATTTGGGCAAACATGGATGAGACGAGAGGTCATCAAAGAGACCTGTGGTCCCCACTAATGGCAACCCAGCGACATTTGGGCTGGCATGGATGAGACGAGAGGTCATCAAAGAAAACTGTGGTCCCCACTAACTGGGACCTGGACACCGTTGGCAGATATTAAACCACCAGTACCTAGCGGTTGTTCAGGCCCGACCCTCGCGCGACCCATATGCTGAGACATGCCGAGCCTCGAGCGACCAGAAGCGAACGGTACCCAGTAGTGGCATCGTTTGATTTCATGAAGAAAAAAAAAAACACAAAAAAGAGGGAAAAAATACAAGCGGTATTTCGTTCTCAAAAACAAAAAGAGAAAAAAAAAAGTACAAAACGGATCCTAGAGTTGTCCACGTGCAGAGAGAGAGAGAGAGAGAGAGAGAGAGAGAGAGAGAACACTGTCCATTGCACTTCCAATTTGCGAAACGCGAATGAATCTACTCACGTTCTCGGGGAGAGTCATTCACACTTGGCACAAATCGAGAGTGGCAGGCGACACTCTACAAGAGTACAAAAGGAGAATGGATCGTGCCGCGTTCTCGCCAAAGATTCATTCTCATTTAGCACACAATGAATGCACTACGGCAATCTTACAGAGAGAGAGAGAGAGAGAGAGAGAGAGAGAGAGAGAGAGAGAGAGAGAGAGAGAGAGAGAGAGAGACCATATTGACGAGTTTGCTATGGCGCAGCAAATGCGCCAGAGCGAGTATCCCGGCGAGTTTGCTGCGCCACAGCGTGACCGCCGGGGTGCTCTCTCTCTCTCTGATGCTACTCTCCATATTTGCAAAACGAGAGTGAATCCCCCACGAGAACGCGAGTAGATTCATTCGCGTATTGCACATTGGAAACACAGCGGGCAGTACTCTCTCTCTCTCTCTGACAGGGACCATCTTGACGAGTTTGCTGCACCACTCTCTCTCTCTCTCTCTCTCTGACAGGGACCATCTTGACGAGTTTGCTGCGGTGCAGCAAACACGCCAGAGCGAGCATCCCGGCGAGAATGTGGCGCCACAGCGTGACTGCCGGGATACTCTCTCTCTCTCTCTCTCTCTCTCTCTCTCTCTCTCTCTCTCTCTCTCTCTCTCTCTCTCTATCTATCTATCTATCTATCTATCTCGCTCTTTTGCTACTCTCCATATATGCGAAATGAGAATGAATCTTCCGCGAGAATGCAGCAAGATCCATTGTCATTTTGCACATTTCTATAGCTGAGGCCTCCCGCTACTCTTTGTATGTGCAACACTGCAAAGTGAGAATGAATCTCCCACAAGAACACGAGTAGATTCATTCATGTTTTACACCTTGGAAGTGCAACGGGCAGTACTCTCTCTCTCTCTCTCTCTCTCGTTATTTCTTTCTTTGTTTCTTTTTTTTTTTTCCTTTTTCTGTTCTTATTTGAGAAAGCCGAATGTAGGTCCTTTCATTGTTTTTCTTTTCTTCTTTGTTTTTCGCCGAGACAAGTGCCCGAACCTGAAGCGACCGCCCTCCAGAATGAGGCACTACCGGGCGTTCACCTCCCCCGACCCCTGAAGCTGCGGCGCGTTAACGGCCGCGAGCTTTTTTTTTAGCTGAGCGAGGTACTGGTGGTTTAAGGTGCAGTTGGCAGGCCTGCACGACATGTGGTCAAACTGGCAGCAAGTTATCGATGCGATTCCTCAGGAATGGAAAGTGACCCTGCGTCCTGAAGAGGTCGATCCAGTCAGTACATGGTACTTGGCTAACGAGGAGCCTGCAGCTAACGAGTAATCCCGGGTCTGGAGAGTAAAGCAGATCATACCCAACGGCTTTCGCAGAATTAAAAAATGGAAACGCCACCCTGCCTCCAATAAACTACAGCTGCGGAACGAAGAAGCTACACGCTGGGATGGGGAACCCCCCCTCAGATCAGGGTGGTGGTGGAATTGAAGAAGGCAAAGAAAACGGTCGGGACGCTAAGTTGGCTGGGCACGGCGACAGTGGAACAACTCTCCAGGGACCCGAAGGGAAGCCAAATCAGGGAGAAACCTCAGTGATCTCACTACTTGACCATACGGTAAAAAAGGGTATACACTATCGGAAAAGTCCTACGAAGAGCACCTGCCGCAGTTGCAGTGTCCAGACCGTCCGCACGAAAGGTCTGTCCGAGTGTAAGCCCCAGTTCGAAAAGGTCTGGACAATCCTAAATTATCTTCCAGATGGAAAGCAGGTCAGCATTCTGTGGATGTTCCCTCTCATGGTAACCCCTTCAGCAGTGTGGTTATTGAACAAGGGGACGAACGTGGGCCTGAAAATGCTCCAGGTGCAGCTGGCCCTTGGAAACTACAGGACATCTGTGGTGAGAATGTCCAGCCTCCAAGAGGATATGGAAGTGGTGGGAGTACCACTGGGAGAATATGGATGAGCGCTGGGCCCTACTGGGCTTTTTGCCAGAAGAGTACCAAGGTACGAAAGGTTGGGGTTATGTGGCACACGCGATAAGGCGCCGAATCTGCGATCTGGACTGACAGAAACAGAGCTCGGTTTCAGAACCGGCCCGTCAGATAAAGAGATCAAATGTCTCGTAAAGAAGGGCGTGAAACAGGCAATCTGGGTAATCTGGGTAGCCTGGAGGAGAAAGACAGGCAGGGAAAGGCAGAAACGACAGCTTTATTCGTTCTTGCTGACAGGGGGAGGGGGAATCGGCAACTGGCTGCCGTTCACAGCTCGAGAGGTCTCATTTTGGGACCGTGCATCAGAGAGGTCTCATTTTGGGGCCGTGGATCAGAGCAGAGGGGTGACAGAGTAGGCTGACAAAAAGGGGGGGGAACGATTAGTTAAGAGCACAGAAGACACCAGAGCACTCGGTTTGTTAGGGGGAGGCTAGAGAGGGCTTAGCATAGATTAGCATAGGTCAGTCGAGCCTTAGGCTAGTGTAGATAAAGTGAGCGGGCTAGAAAAGATGAGCTGTGAACCAGGGCACTCGGTCAGTAGGGATGCAGTAGTGCAATAGGAGAGCAACCTGGGAATAAGGAGCCAGAGTTCCACTGGGCGGACGAGTAGTAGAGACTAGTTAGGGAAGTGTTCTGTTCGAACAGTGAGAAAGCGTTAAGGAAAATTTGCTATAGAAGAAAGAAAGTGAATGTGATTGGTCTTGGTTCTGCCAGGCTTGATACGAGGTACGTAATGAGAGGGGAAGTAATGCAGGCTGTGTCGAGATATTGGGGACATTTTGGGCGAGCACCACTCGTAAACTGCACTGGGTGAAGCTGCCAGGATAACCCCGGGTTGAAATGTGAGGTCCCCGGCCTCAATTTCAATTAGAAGAGAGCAACCAACAAAAAAAAAATCGTGACGCGCGGCAGAGTCCGAACTGCGAGTTGGTAGTAGAACAGAAAGTGGGGAGAGTAGCGAAGTACGGGTTCTTTTTGGATGTGGTTCCCACGCAGGCCTTTCTCTCACTCGGGTCTCTATTCTGACGGCACCTATGACGCGGGGGAAGACGGTATAGTCCTGAGTAGGCTTCTTGCTTCTGAATCAGTATGTCTATTCTGTCTCTGCACTTTCTCTTGAAACTTGTCTGAACGGTAGCGAATCTAGCGATACCTCATTTTCTGGTCTTGATGAATCTGGCTGTACTGGCACCCGTTTCTAATGATTATCATACCTACCGTTTGGTTGCGCACGGCACTTCGGGGGCTTCACTCTCTCTCTCTCTCTCTCTCTCTCTCTCTCTCTCTCTCTCTCTCTCTCTCTCTCTCTCTCTCTCTCTCTCTCTCTCTCTCTCAATGGTCGTTGTGATGAGTTCGACACTTGTGCTTCGCAAATTGGGTTCGGGAGACTAAACTTCCCTTCCAGCTCCAATTCCATAATTACCGACATATACGTCGTCAAGGTCACCAATGCACTCTCCCTCTCTCTCTCTCTCTCTCTCTCTCTCTCTCTCTCTCTCTCACACACACACACACACAATGGTCGTTGTGACGAGTTCGACACTTGTGCTTCGCAAATTGGGTTCGGGAGACCAAACTTCCCTTTCAGCTCCAATTCCGTCATTACCGACATATACGTCGTCAAGGTCCCCGATGCAGAGATTTGCCAGTCATCGACTCGGACGATTGGCTGCACCACTTGCGGCTAACATACACCCTCTAATCGTTGATCTCATGAATGAGATCCACCACCTACTCACGATCCCTTACTGCTTGATCGCGCGACAACACAAGTTATCAGTCTGCGCATGGGCCCACAGTTATATTGCCTTATCCTGTTTGTTGTCTTTTCTAAACAACGCAGAGGACGTCCACTCGCTCCTCGTGAAGCCAAACAGACCAGTTCGCTAGATGACCGACAGTTTCACATTCCGTTTCGTATATTCAGCACACTCATATGTGCGCTCGTAGCTCTCAAGTGTTCGAGAGTACCACAGGAGATCATGACACACAGTCGGTTCACTTGCCCGCCCTCAGGACCTTTCGCAGATGCAGATGCACAGAACTAAGATGACGCATTCTCGATCACAGAAAACAGTCACTCCCATTTTCGAAACACCTTCAGAGCAGAATTAGATTTTGCAAAACAATTACGTAACAATTCAGTCTAACAGAGTAGGGGATTTTAAAACAGACGCTTCACTAAAAAGCAACACACTGCTTTCGTCGTCATATACAAAGGAACACACCGCAACGTTTGGAAGTCACAACGTAGCCGCAGCTAAACTGGTTCATCACATCAATCGAAAATTTGTGAAAAATGGGACGCACCATTCGGTTTTCAAGTCGCAATACGTGGTCGTAGCTAAACGCCTCCATCGCACCAATTGAAACTTTTGAAAATCATTTAGCCGGGGGACACCGAACAACGGCAAGTGACAATCACGCTCAGACCAGGGGGAGATCGGACACCATACGAATGACAATCACACGCTTCTCAGACCATCACCGCCATACTGCTCCATTATGTCATCAAATTTGGACAGCGAGGACAGGTGACAATCACGCGCTCACACCCTCACCGTTATGGATACCAAGACAAAGTTGTTCATCTCTGCCGCGCGAACCAATGCAGCAATCCCCTTGATCCTCTCCCTCCTCTAACCGTCCAACCAGATCGTCACACATAGCAGCCACAGGGTTCAATGAGTCTACCAACGGTGGCAAACAGATGTACTATCGTAATGATAAAAAGGGACATGCGAAGTCGCCTTCACACTCCATTACATCAATTCAAGATTTGAAAAATTTACTACCCGGGGCCACTAGCTCGGACAAGATAATTTGGGCCGCGAACCAATCCATAAACCCAAGCCCACTGTCTATCTGCTGCTGTCTCTCTGCCTCCGATTACCGTACAACCATTTGTCGTCAAATACAACGACAACGGGGATCTACGTTCACCAACGGAGGCAAACAGATGCACTATCGTGATGATAAAATGGGAAATGCGAAGTAGCCTTCACAATAAACAAGGCCGGGACGACCGGTAGAAAGGGCCTCCCATTGTCACCATACACCAGCTATACGTCACCATGTGTTCTAATCACGCACTCAGTCAGGAGGGCGCGGCAGATACATACAACCTCGCGGCAATGGGGGAAAAACCCACCACCCTGCCCCCCTTCCTACCTGACGACCACCAATCTGAAGGAGTGCAATCACGTAAGAGTCTCTATTGAGGCATGAAACGAGCCGACGACCAGCCTTTACCCAAGGGCTCTCTTCTCCCCATCATGGACTATCCTCAACTCGCTGCTTCGGCCTCTGCCGTCTTTGCCCCACACTCTCAGGCGAATGAAGGGAAACACTCGCGCGGTAGTGTTCCACAAGAAACACGACGAAGAAAGTACAGATAGCACTGCCTTTGCCACGCCGCAATTCTCCGTGAATCTAACGAGTTAATTAATTCACAGCGGACCCCAACCAGAAAACCTCCCCTGTTGGAAGAGTCCCTCGCTAGGTGCGCAGGACAGATTCTCTCCAAGCATCAACATGTGACCCGACGGAGCGAGCGTTGCCATTCTACACAGCAAGAACGACTGACATCTTGAGCTACATCCCTAAGATGCAGATGGAAACTGACGCGTTCAAAGAAAGAGATGACGAGAGAAGATGACCGAATTTGCCACACGCATCTCTGCACGGAAAAGCGTGCTCACGTACATACTCGCTGTAATGAGAAGCCTGAAGTGCGTAGGAGACCATGCGGAGCAGAGAAAACCACTCAAAGGCAAGAACTTCTGGGAAGACTTGTTCATGGCAGAACTCCTGCCAGTACGCGAAGAAAACTAAATGTAATCCCCAGAGACTTCCCAAAAAAACACAGAAAACAGAAAGAGAAGAACTAGCTTCCACAAAGAATAATGAGGCGTACAATTCAACTAGAAACGAGAAGACCACCCCGCACATGGGGGGGGGGGGGAAATGGTCAATTCGGGGTTATGCTCTTCGTCAACGAGGCTAACCCCTTCCATCTCTCTCTCTCTCTCTCTCTCTCTCTCTCTCTCTCTCTCTCTCTCTCTCTCTCTCTCTCTCTCTCAGAGTTCTCCGGTCTTCCTACGCCCCTCTTCCGCCCTGTGTTCCACCCCCTTCCCAGGGTGCGTTTCCACTTCCTAGCCCTTAACCGACTTCTGAATCTCGTCATAAAGAACAAGCACGAGCGCCCCACCCGCGCCACGAATGACATTCGACCACGCTCCCTTGAAGAAAGCCTTCGGCCCCTCGTTGCTCATGATCTTTCTCCAGCAGTCGAGCGTACCGGAGTACATTTGCTCGCCCGAACCTGACTGCATCATAAGCCGTCGGCGAACAGTATCAAACGGATAAGACACCATGCCGGCACCAGCTGTGACAGTCTGGGCGATAGCCCACTTCTGCCACACTGGCGCGTTCTTTGGATCCGTCAGGAAAACGCTCTTCGCCGTGTCGAAGCCTCCGAAAAACGCCGCGCGGTACACAATGATACCCTGCACCGACACACCGAATCCTTGGTACAGTCCCTTGAAACCATCCTGTACACAGGTGCCGCCACATCATCGCCAGCGAAGGACAACCAAGCACATGCCAAGAGCCACGACCACACGTTAAATTACTATTTCAAAATCAACTGACGAATGCATTCCACTTCAAAAACCACAACGTACTCTACCCCGCGCTCGCGCTTACTCCAACTTCCAAAGACCGCAAACACCACATCAATCGTGCAGGAGGCAACAAATGAAGACATGGCCATAAGAAGAGACTCCGGCAAGCAAGACCCAAAAACTTCCAGCAGGAGAGCCAACCACCACGCACACTATTCCTTGTATTCAACGCTTACAATGCTGAATGGAAAAATGCAACAAGCCGACGTAAACGAGCCGAAACCCGAGGAACCGAACCCCTTCCAGCTCGCCTGGAGCACCAGAATTCTATTCGTAAAAAGAGACCGACAATGCGCACGTTAAACAGCCCATCCCTCCCCGCGGACAGGTGCCCCACATTGAGAGTCCTAGCGGACCCCATCTCCGCTGACAAGGCCTCTGCCCTTAGGCGAGCAAGCGCAAAGAAAAGCGAACTCGGCCACACACCACGAGATACAAAGCCATTTGGTCATAGACTCATAGGCGGTATCCCGCAAAGCAGGGCACCGTTCACACACGAGCTGTTGTAAAGTGACTCGTGATAAACCCCTAGCAGGAAACGCAAGGATGATCTAATTTACTCAAGAGCAGCGGACGACATCGCCCACACACGAGCTCTTGGAAATCCACTTCCGATCAACCCCTAGATCATAGGACGTGACCATGGCCTCCGCCCGAAAGGACATCAAGCAAGTAACAACAGGAGGGTCATCCGCAAGAATAACGGCTCTCAAAATTAGGCCCGCATTCCTACGCAAACAGCGACAACACGCAGAACCTCCTACAGTAGCATCGTCTTCCACAAATAGGAAAAAATGGCCAAGAGCACGCGAGCATCACACGAACGATAGGACGGGGGGGGGTGTTTTAAGGGTGTCAGATTCGCACCGTGACTAACGGTACGTCAACCCTCATTCCGCCCAAGGCATCGTATCGTGCGCTGCATGGATATTACAGCGCCTTGATGCAATCCCAAGGTGGAAAGACTCGCTGCCGCACGCCACACATGGGACCTATTGAACTTCGTGCCATTACTAAGACATAGCACTTGGACCCAAGAACGAAGTATCGGCCCTTCGACACCAAACTCGCTAGTCACTAGCTCTCATCTCAATGATGACTCTCATCTCAATCGTGACTCTTATCTCAATGGTGACTCCGGTCACCATCAGCGGGTGATTCATCGATTGTCGCCAGAGCAGACAGCGCAGATGGATCTGTGAACTTCCACAACCATCCAGAGACGATTCTACCACCGGGTGGAGAAACGTCCTGCAATCAACATAGGAAAACAAGAATGTGGCAGATCGATTCCGACACCCGAGCGTTTCAGTCGCAGAAGCGCGCGTTTCCAGACGACGAGGCATGCACTCTAAAGACAGTTAGGCATGCACTCTAAAGGCAGATCACTTACATATACCAGCCCAATCATTATGGCCATATAACCCGTAATAGTAATCCGGAATACGTGCCCTTAAAAGACGCAGAAGGGAAAAACTGCGAAGCACATTTAACGAACAGCTAGGTAGGACGAACAGCATACGCTTTTGTGCACAACAACGAAAGCGTGCCATATAAAAGCACAGATATTGTGGGAAGTCAGATTGCCGCAATCACTGCGCGTCATCGAGGAAACATCGCGGGTCAGCGTTCAATCACACGAAGTCCACGCTATGGAGAGACCGTGCTCCAAAGCGCGACATACACGGAGATAAACCTGCCATGCAATTAAAAGAGAAGGGGCTAATGGCTTAATACAGTCAGAGATATCGCCCGATTGTTTGAGCTTTCGTCACAAAACGATACCACTCGATTACTCGATCTCTGTCAACATTCTCGCGTTCAGGCTGCATTCGCTATCGGTTGTATTCGCTATCGGTTGTATTCCCCCATTCGGCGCTCTCTGCGCCCGGTCCTGCCCTCCCTATTCGCTGCATTTCCCCCGGTCCACCGCCAGTGATCCCTTTGGTACCCATCCTTTACCCCGCTCTGCCTCCCCTCCAGGCTCCACCGTACCTGCCCTCACACGGTCATCCGTCTCGCCTCCTGCTACCACAGGTCCGCATTTACGGCCGATACTCCGACTTTCCCGTCCAGCTTCTGATTCCCAGACCTTTTTTCCACACGCTCCCCATTCCCCTTCCCCTGCTTATACGTTCCCCTGACATTTTCATACTCTGGCCCACCACACCATCCGCGTCTCCCAGAGTCCCACCCTCTCCCCCACGCACTTCCGCGCTCTCTACCAGATTAGGCATTTTCTCCTCCGCGTAGTTTCTCAACCTTCCGCGCTCCTCCCACACCATTACTATATTCGGCGTTTTATTCACCTCCGCGCTGTTTATCAACCGTTCCGCGATTCTCCCCACACCGTCCCCGTCCCACAACCATTCCGCCTTCCCTGAGCTCTCTTCACCATCGCCCCTCGCCTCCGCTCTCCGCCATCCAATTCCACACCCATTTTATCTCCCACGCATCCTCTTCCTTTGATCTCCCTTATGCGCTCGTTCCTTCCCACACCCGTCCTTGGTATTGCCCCGCGCACCTCCACGGTCACTCCAGAACACTTCACGCCGCTTTGGTCACGGACAAGATAGCAAGCAAACTCATCGCCCTCCATCACGGCCGGAGCGCCTACGCCGTCTATCCCGAACACTTGACGCTTTCGTAACGGACAAGACTGCCAGCCATTCCGCACGCTCACACGTTTACTCTCTCGCACTGCGTATACACGACCCTCAACCCAGAACCCGATCCACACCATGACGTGGGACAACATCCGCATGGCAGAAGACATGCGGCAACCATCCCTCTGCATGGTACTACATACACAAACTACGTGGTCACCCTCTCCTCCGCCATCCCCAGCACCACACACTTGCTGGTACAGAAACCACCGACATAGCCCCCAGGAGACGATACATGACAGACTCACCAACCCCGCAATTAGACTGCATAGCTACTGGACAAAGAACTTCAACAATACGACATACTATCGCCAATCAAATGGCGAGAGCAATGTGCAAGAATTAGGGAGCCTGGACACAGACCAAACACAAGGAACACTAAGTAATTGCGAACCAATTAATGCGACGATTCAACAGGCAGGAAACGGAAGGGGGTCAATACTCACACTCTTGTAGATGGTGGAGATGCAATTCCCCAGGCCCGTGAATTGGCGCTCCGCGCCTTTTCCAACATCTGCCGCAAGGCGCGTACGAGCGAAGTCAAGAGGATAGACAAAGAGCAATGAAGTGGCGCCGGCCGCTCCACCTGACGCCAAATTTCCAGCGAAAAACTTCCAGAACTCCTTCTTGGGGTCGTACGGGCAGAAAATCTGCTTGTAGGTGTCCTTGAATGCGAAGTTGAGCGCCTGAGTGGGGAAGTACCTAATGATGTTCGCAAGATTACCACGCCAGAACGACATAACACCTTGCTCGTTCGCCACCCTCGAGAAGCAGTTAATGATCCCAGTGTACTTCTTATCGGCAGCAAGCTGCTTGTTGCTGTCCTGCGTCTGCAGCAGTAGCTTCACACGCTCGATAGGCGCCACGGCAGTCTTCGAAATTCCACCAGATACACCACCAGCTAACAAGTCGACAAGGAAGGACTGGGCTGGAGTCAGGTCTTTGCCTTTCCCTTCTTTGGGTGCAGCAATGAACGGCACCATAGCTGGCACGTTCAGGGGTTGAGGCAGAGGGGTCCTCATGGCAGTAGCAGCAGCGAAGCCCAGATACGGCGCCGCCGGGGCATCGCTTCCCCCTAGCAGGTAGACATCCCTCCCGCTTGGGGAAAACGCGGGCGTGCCCGCCGCCATCGAGCCGGCTGCCAACTTAGAGAACATGGCGTCACCTTTCCTCCGTCGGGCAAGCGCAGCGCCAACACCGCAGCCGCGTACCGTGGCTGGCTCGGCTCCCCGCCACGACAGCTCGCCGCAGCCAGTCACGCCTTCCCCCGCCGTTCCTTTCGTCCTCTCTCCGCCAAAATGTTCCGAGTACAGGATATCTTATTGCTACATTAGAACAAAACTCGTGGTAAGGGTGAACTTCTCCTGCCTCCCCCACCGTCTTTTCTCCCTACCTATTCCCTCTTCCGCCAGTGTCAACGCACCTAATCAACAGGCTGGCCTCCAACGGGATGCCCCGGCCGTAACCCGAGCTCGCTGGACCACTCACATTGCCGACGCCGGACAGCACAATAGTCCCCCGAACAACAAGACGCTACCTCACGAGAGGCCGGGGTGAGGGAGGACCACCCCGCTCATACCACGCGGCAAGCGCGATCTGGTACACTCTCGGGGAAAAGTTCACTGCGTTCTTGGTGGTGTGGAGGCCCACCACCGCAAGCCTGTTTCCTGAAAATCGACTCCATGCTCATCAACTCCTGGTAGTGTAAGCGCTACCATGAACCTAGCCGTTGTTCCCATCAGTCCAAGGATCACCTGCACTGGCGGGTGCTTCCCACGAGGTGCGCACTGGCGACGGGTTTCGGCGGAGCGCGAGTGGCGGGGGCTTCCTGAGGGGACGCAGCTGGTAGACAGCGCTTGAAGGCATGTGCACTGCCACTTTCGCGCTGCGCGTTCGCAGCCTTAGCGGGTTGCTGCGTCAAGGTGGCGTAAATTCGCAGCCCGTCAGGGGTGCGTTTTCTCCCCCTGAGAACTTTTTTTTTTTTTTTCAAACAATTGCTTTATTTCCAAAGGATATAGAGGCCGGGAAAACCTCAACATGACAACCCGGAGGAAAAACTGGGGCCATTACCCAGCTTAGGCTTGTGCTGGAAACCGGGTCCAGCGTCCCTTAAAGCAACTGCTTTTAGAGAAAATAATCAACTGGATTAAAAAATGCTCAAACCGGGTCCAGCGTCTTCGTTCGTTATATGGTCGTTGGAAGGCTGTTCGCAGCCCGTCAGGGGTGCGTTTTATGCCCCTGAGAACATTTTTCATCGTCATTCGTTATACGGTCTGTGGAAGGCTGGAAAAACAAGGCATGGCAGTTTAGGGGGTGCTGGCATCTTATTTGAAACTGCAGGACCGGTAGCTGCCCGTGGGACCGCACGGGTTTTGGTCCAGGACCACGTACGACCGGTAGCTGCGCATAGGAGGCCATTGTGTACCGCGCTGAGCGCAGCCAAACTGGAGCAAGGAGCAGGACAAGCGAGGTGGCCCTTTTCTCACGGGTGCGCAGCCCGTAGTTTGTTTGTTGATGTTGTTGTGGACGTGTGTGTGTGTGTGTGTGTGTGTGTGTGTGTGTGTGTGTGTGTGTGTATGAGAGAGAGAGAGAGAGAGAGAAATCAGGCGTGGCGCCACTTTGTCAAAACGCCTTGATCGATAAGGCACCATGCTCTCGACGCACATAGGGAGACTCACTTTGTGAACGCAGAGGGAACGGGAGCAGCCGCCGCTGCTTTTCGATTTCGACCACAACAGGCTTCGAATTCAAACCACCACTCTACCCGACGTTGGAAATTCGGGGGACCGGTAGCACAAGTCCATGAGGGCTACCAGTAGCACAGAGTGGAGAACCGGCAGAGTGGTGAATATGGAAAATGGGATGAATTTGCGCTATAAGCTATTTCGCGGTTAAGATAATTTTTTTTTTTTAAATAAACATTTTTCCTGAAAAGATCATGACCAAATCAACGGACCCTCAAATTTTCAGACTTGTTGACGAGTTCTTCTGAGCGTGAAAAATCTTTGAAATAGGGGTACTTTTCTTGTTGGCCCACAAGTTGTCGTGTGCCAAAAATGACAAAAGTGAAGAATTGGCACGGCATTTATTTCATGGTCTAAACGATTTTTATTTTTATTTTTGATATTTTTCCTGGAAAGATCACGACCTGGCCTACCCGAAATCAAATTTTCAATCCAGCGGCCTAGCTCAGTTGGTAAGGCTCGCAAGTGGCATTCAGGAGGTCATGGGTTCAATCCCCATTGGCCTCATGCCTTCCTAGGCTTACTTAGCACCCGCTACCCAAGAGATAGACCACTGGATCCCCCGATCGGCATCAAGCAGCGTCTGCTATGTTCGTAGGGGAGGGGCCTGAGGGGAGGCACGAGGGATTGATCCGCTTTATCCCTGGTGCTACCGGCCATCCCCTGGTTGGTATCCTGCAGGCTCGAGGGGCCGTAAAAACACGGCTCTGGTATGCTACGGGTTTCCCCGTATGCCTACAGGTAGGAGTAGTGGTAGGTAGGTAGTGTGGGGAAATTGAGAGAAGAGTATAGTTTAAAATTAAAAAAAATAAAAAATAAAAAATTCAGATCTTTTCTCAAATTATTCTGCGTACGAAAAATCGTCAAAGTTGGCGCTCGAAAATTGCAAGATTGGACCCGCTTGCGCCTTCCAATCGGTGCCTCCCCTAAAAACCCGCCCTAACTCAGCGCAATGCAAATTTTCAGGACTTGGCCTCCCCGACCTCCTGCGGGCAGCTACCGGTCCTCCAACAGCGAAAACTTTTCAGGATCCGGCCTCCCCGACCTCCTGCGGGCAACTACCGGTCCTCCAACAACGAAAATTGCCTATTTCCCACGAATTGGACCCCCAGCAAATACACCACCCTTCCAACTACTGCACCGTTTGGTGACGATGGCGAAATTTCTCAGGGGCATAAAACGCACCCCTAACGGGCTGCGAACTCCTCCCGCCTCCACCACGATCAATCGACCGCCATGGACTCTGGGCCTCACCACACCACTCTCGAAATGTGAAAGAAAAACAAAAAAATGTGTCGGGTGCATCTGGTCATGTTCTAGCGAGGAGTTTATTCCCATTTTGCAAATTTCGAGAATGGTGATGTGATGCCCTGAACCTTTTTTTTTTTTTTTGCCCTGAACCTTACCTTTCGGCCTCGTTGCACTACTCAGAACATGCACAAAAGACAAACTATGGCGGTGTATACTTCCATGTTATAGCGGGAAAATTCATTCATTCACATCACATTTTGCACGGTGATGGAGCAAGGGCGTTTGGCCATCCCTTCCGTCACTTATCACTTACTAGACCCCGCCTACCCCAAAACAACCCCAATCCCCCCCCTCCCCCCTCTTCAAAAACGAAGGCCGGAACGGGGAAAAAAAACAAAAGAAAAGGTCGGACGACGGCCGCCACGGCCAAATAACGACCTATGCAACCTGCACTTGGTCGCCCGCGCTCCAACCTCTGAGCCGACCGTTTCGGCTACCGGTTTGTGCCCTGCGCCCGACCGTGCACCTTGTAGACTCCCCATAATCCCCGTTAGGACTCGTCGACACTTCCATAAAAAGGATGACCCGCTATACGACAAAATGCAACGGGGTAAGATGCAGCCTCTGACTGCGAACAGTCCTTTTTCGAAATTGAAACAGTGCGGGTCCGCTTTTATCGAATAGCAGAGTTCCTCGAATAGAAAACTCACACATTGTATTCGAATACAACTTGTACCCTTTCTACTCGGATTTCGAAAAGAAAAAACTCTTGTATTCCGATAAAATTACTTCTTCTTTTTGTTGGAGGTCAACGCCTGCCCTTGTGCTCCCTGCCACTGACATGCTACATGCTGCAGGTCTCTCTGTCTCTCTCTCTATCTCTCTTGGTGCCTTGGCCAAATTGGTCAAGGTTGCGGACGACCCAAACTTGCGCAGACTTTGGCAGGTGCTGAATGTGACATTCGAAGGGAGACGACAACAGAGGGATGAGAGGGAAGGTGGAACAGGGGAGAGGGTATTGGGATAAGGGGGGAGAGGAGAAAAGGACACCTAGGAAGGGGTAATAGGTAGGGAAAATGGTTGGGTGTGGCCCGACAGAAAATGAGTTCGCACCAGCCATCGGAAAACAGTTTTTTAAAATTTCGGCCGACTTAGAGGATGCTGGGTGGATAGGCTGGGTAGGGACCGACGACTGAGGCCTGGCGGTAAGCCCATGGACTTCTTGAAGTTACGAATTTAGATTTTGAAAATATTCTTGAAGTCGGTAGACGTTCGGGTCCGGAGGAAGGGGCAGGGGAAAGGCCATAGTATTAGTACGGGCAGCAAGGCCAAGGCTGCCTCGAGCTACGGAATCCGACTGGATTCCACCTCCTGAGGAGTCCGCACATAGACGGACAGAAACGCAGCGTCGAGAATGCTACGAAGCTCAGAGGAGGAGTGGTGGCAACGACTAGGTCATGGTGGGACATAACGAAAGGGAAAGGGGAAGCTAGGTGGACAACGGAAAGGGAAAGCTAGAGGGAAGGTTGCGGGGAAATCATATCTTATGGAAAAGATACTTTCATTTTACTATGAGCCAGCATGCTGCAGTGACTGTGTGGCCGCAGTCTTCCTTCACTCGAAAGTGCATAGTAACCGGGAGTACGCGATGGATCCGATAGAGGGGATAGCACAAGAAACGATAGGAAGGTCAGCAGGGTAGGTAGCAAGCGATAGTGCAAAGAAGCGAGTGTAACACATGAATTAGTGGAAGATGTACGGGGGAGGTTAGAATCAGCAAGGGGGAATGGGCGGGAATGGAAGCTCAGAAGGGTACGAGGGTGCTTACGAGAGTAATCAAGGCGGTAACGCAAGAGGGAACAGCGGAGGATATAGCGGAGGGTATAATGGAGGAAACAAATACGATGGTGGGAACAACGGAGGGAACGGGTACGGAGGGAGGCACCAAGTGTGCTTCACACTGGCATGCGGGAAACCCGGGCACTATTCACGAGACTGCTGGATGAAGAGAGGGAGGAGCGAGGATAATGAACTTGACGAAATAAGGCAGCACTACATGATGGTCATACAAGAGAGACGAGAAGTCGAGGAAAGAAAAAAGGAGGAGGAGCAAAGGAAGAAGCAAGAGGAGAGTGAAAGAAGACGCGAGCACGATATAATAAGGAGGACGGAGGAGATACGATTACAACTAGAAGCGGGACTGGAGGATAAATGGCATAATCAAACAAAGAAAGTTGAAGAAGTGGCAGCGGCGGCAAAAGCGAAGATAGAGGAGACGAAGGCGAAAGCCGAGGAG